GATATTCAAATATATACTGTCATATTATTATTAAATATATGTGTGTGTGCAGTTGAATGATAATTGATAATTAACCGCGGCGGTGGATACAAAGACAAAGAGCAATAAATAAAAATAACTAATTTAAATAATTAATCAATCAATCGATCTATAATAAGGTATTCTATTATGAATATTTAAAAAAGTTAGTCTGAAAATACAAGTAATAATACAAGTAATATCATCATTATAAGCGAAATCAGACTAATCTCACTAAAATTAGTCATCAATTATACACTCATTTCCAGTAATTATAGTATTTGTCACCATACGTTTTCATATTATCTGATAACTCATGCCACCTCGTTCTGGGTAAATCCTCACCTAACAAGACTTTATCCTGTTGTGTCAGATTTTTCTTCTTTTCTTCAAGCTTGAGTTGTCGTAACTCTATGAAATCTTGCCTCAACCACTGTTCAACCAACTTTAATAGAGGAGAATCCATATTTCTGCGTGTATGAGACGTTTTATTGACGGCGGATTTTGACAACGATGATTGAGTATCTTCTTCATTGGTTGTGCGTAACTCAAGTGATTTGACAATCATTTTGTCAAGTTCAGGAAAGTTATTATAGAAATCGTGAAATGCAACGATTGTTCCACGTTTTATATGAGCAACGTGGGTTGGCCAATCTCCAAGTCCTTCAATGGATGATTTAAAAGGAATGCGATACAGTTGTGAGAAAATCACATAAATGGCTAAAAACGCTCGAAAACAACGATAACCAACATTTTCCCCCACGATAAGATTGATCTGCACACGTTACCATCAAATATATGTGTTGCATAAACCTAATTAGAAATAAACATAACAAATAATTAAATCATTAGACAAGAAAGTAGAACACAATTAATAATTAAAAAAAAACCCTTACAATCGTAGCATTTCGTTCTTCCGTTTCCTTTTTCAAATACAACAAAAAATCACTACGAACCAAAACATCCAAATCCACTGTAACCTCATCCAGCAACAACAGATCCCACGGTTAATTATCAATTATCATTCAACTGCACACACACATATATTTAATAATAATATGACAGTATATATTTGAATATC